GATGGCACCGTATGATGCCTTGTATGGGAGACGGTGTAGATCTCCAGTTGGTTGGTTCGAGCCCGGTGAGGCTAGATTGTTGGGGACAGATTTGGTTCAGGATGCATTGGAGAAGGTGAAGGTGATTCAGGAGAGACTCCGTACAGCGCAGTCGAGGCAGAAGAGTTATGCGGACAGGAAAGTCCGAGATGTATCCTATATGATTGGTGAGAAGGTCTTGATGAAGGTTTCACCCACAAAGGGTGTTATGAGATTCGAAAAGAAAGGGAAATTGAGTCCGCAGTTCATTGGGCCTTTTGAGGTACTTAGGAGGATTGGGGAGGTGGCCTATGAGCTTGCTTTGCCACCCAGCTTGTCGAGCGTGCATCCAGTTTTTCATGTTTCTATGCTCCGGAAGTATATTGGAGACCCGTCCTATGTTCTGGATTTCAATACAGTTCAGCTGGAGGGTGATTTGACTTATGATGTAGAGCCAGCAGCCATTTTGGATCGTCAGGTTCGGAAATTGAGGTCAAAGGATGTAGCTTCGGTGAAGGTGCAGTGGAGAGGTCGGCCCGTGGAGGAGGCTACCTGGGAGACCGAGCGGGAGATGCGGAGCAGATACCCTCACCTATTTGAGGCTTCAGGTATGTTTCTTGACTCGCTCGAGGACGAGCGTTTGTTTAGTTTGGGGAGGATGTGACGACCCGACCCGTCGTCACGTGAGCTACCGCTTCGTTTCCCCCATTCTCTGCTTCTTTATGCTTCATTATCAGTGTTTTGTGTGAACGAGTTGGTTTGGATTGGTTTTAGAAGGAAATGAGACGCATAGTCTCTTTAAGGAAGGCTTGTATTAGAAAAGTCAACCGGACATTGACTTATGTGTTAGAGGGCTCGGATATGGATTCCGATGATTCGGTTAGCTTCGGGGGATGATTTGTGACTTAGGAGTGTGATCGGAAGTGATTTTGGAGGTCCGGTGTAGAATTAGGCTTGAATTGGCGAAGTTAGTATTTTGGTGAATTCCGGTTGATAGGTGAGATTTTGATCCGAGGGTCGGAATGGAATTCCGAGAGTTGCTGTAGCTTCGTTAGGTGATTTGGGATGTGTGTGCAAAATTTCAGTCTATTTGGAGATGATTTTGGTAGGCTTTTGATCGAATGCGTATTTCGAAAGTTTTTAAAGAACTTAGGCTTGAATTCGATGTGAAATGATGGTTTTAGTGTTGTTTGAGGTGTTTTAATGATTGGAACAAGTTCGAATGATGTTATAGGGGGTGTTGGTGTTTTTGGTTGAGGTCCCAGGGGCCTCAGGGTGATTTCGGATGGTTAACGGGAAGTTTTGGCTTTGGAAATCTAAGAAATTGCAGCTGCTTCTGGTATTTTCGCTTCTGCGGAATTGGGACCGCAGAAGCGAGAGGAGAGCCGCAGAAGCGGCAGGGACCGCAGGAGCGGAATTGGTGACCGCATCTGCGGAGTCGCAGATGCGACAAAATGACCGCAGATGCGGATTTTGGCTATTTAATGGGATCCGCAAATGCGGAGCTTGGTCCGCAGAAGCGGAAGCCGCAGATGCGGGAATTCGACCGCAGAAGCGGTTATTTCCGCAGAAGCGTCGTGTTGACCGCAAAAGCGGGAGTCGCAGAAGCGACATTATGACCGCAGATGCGGTAATGTCTGGGCAGAGCCATTTAATTCCATCTTCGCGAATTTTTGAAGGGTTTCATATTTTTAACTCGGACTTGGAGGATTGTGGGCAATTTGAAGAGGGATTTCAAGGGGTGTTGATAAGGTATTGATTCTTGGACTTAAAACACGATTTTATGGTGTAAATACATGGATTAGAGCTGAAAACTCAAGTAATTAATGAGCAAAAATGGCGGTTTAGGGCTTGAAACTTAAGAGAGCAAAAATTGGGATTTGTGGGGTCATTTGGACTCCGATTTTGGTAATCTTTATATGTATAGACTCGTGGCGAGATAAGGAACCCGTTGATGTAAAATTTTCTGATTTTTGAGAAGTGGGCCAGGGGCTCGGGTTTTGCTAATTTCGAGATTTTTGATATTTTTCGATTGTTTTCGATTGGGTATTGTTTCATGGGCATATTGTGACGTATTCATTGTGGTTTTGGTCAGATTCGACGCGCGAGGAGGCCGATTTGAGAGGCAAGGGCATATCGAGCTAGGATTTTGGCCGGCTTGAGGTGAGTAATAGATGTAAATGATGTCCTAAGGGTTTGAAACCCCGGATTTGCACATCGTAGTGCTATAATTAGGTGACTTGCATGCCGGATAGCGAGCGTGGGGTGGAGCACCGTTGGGGATTGTGACTTGGTCCGTCCCGATAGATGAATTTACTGCGTATTTGACTGAATATCTCTTGTTATCATTATAATTTGAGCTGATTACTATATTTGGGCCTCGTGCCAACTGATTGAATCCTTCAGGGATTGCTATTACTGGTTTCTTACCATTTTTACATATAATTGAACTCAGTCCTAGTATTTAATACTGTTTTGCAAACTCAGCCACCTTTTTTCTCAAACTTGAAACTTAAATAATATTTCTAATGAAGTTTGGGCTGAATATTTATATATTATTGTGCCCGAGGGGCTTATGTGATTCTGGACTGAGTATGAGATCGGACTGCGCACCGCAGCGGTATTATATTGATACGGATATGAGGCCGAGGGCCTAATTGATGCCACGAGATGGCTTTATTTTTGCGCTTGGGCCGTAAGGGGCCCCTCCCGGAGTCTGCACACCCCCAGTGAGCGCCGTCGACGATAAATAAATGGAGCGGGCTGCACGCCGCAGCGGGTACTAGAGAGTACCGTACTATGTGTTGCATTTCATATCTGACTGTCATTTATTTACCTATCTGTTGCAGTATTTTCCATAATTGTTTTCATTGGTTTACTGACTCTATACTACTTGGTTTAAGTTGCTGCATTTATAGATTACTATGTGCCTATTCAGGATTTCTTATTCTCAGCCTTTATTTATGTTTATTACTCACTGGGTCGGAGTACTCACATTACTCCCTGCACCTTGCGTGCAGATCCAGGTGCATCTGAGGCTGAGTGAGGACTTTTTTGCCGAGCAGCTCATATCCGGGAGTATCGAGGTAGCTGCATGACGTCCGCAGTCCTGAACTTCCCTCCTATCTTATTGCTTCATTTCCGCATTTCTTTAGAACGATATGTAGTAGGTTGATACTCCTGTATTANATGAGGCAGCCTCACTCACTTGGACTTAGTTCTCTGATATGTTTTTGCATGAGTTGTCCCCCAGAGCCTCAGAGATGCTTGGCGCGCAGAGTTTGAGCAGCTGCGCCAGGGTTCTATCAGTGTTTTAAAAGGCGAGGGTGTGAGGAGGAGCGTTTTAATTAATAATATAGCATTATAACACAAAAAATATAAAAGATGCATTAAAAGTTCAAGAAAACAAAAAAATTAAAGAAACACATATAAAATAAAATATTTAGCATATTTTACAAGTATAAATAATACAATACGGTTAAAGTTACTATGAAATATAAATTAATTCCAGCCTCTTAACTTTCAAACTACTAAAACTTATTATTTCTTCAAAACTATTATCAAACTACATATTTTACCTCTTTAAAAGTAAATACACAATAAATTTTTCAATACTATTATTTAAATATTACTCCTTCATGAGTAAACATAAAATTATTTTTAAATAGTAAAATAAAAAATTTATGATAATTTGGAGAGATATACAACTAAGACATGAAAATCTATCAGGTAAAGATATAAAATTTGGTTATCTATTTTTAGAAGAAATATTCAAATGATATTCACCCTCATGATGTTCTCAATTAGTAAGTATGCAATAATATATTTCGTTATTTGAATTATTCATATTTTTCATATTTCTATAGATAAAAAGAACTTTAATCATTCATTTGTTAAAGAATTTTGATAGTTAACAATGCAAATTAGTGAATTCAACACATGATTTGCATAGGAACTGTTGAGCGAGTCCCGAGCGTTGAGCATTAGGCGTGTTTAGGACGCACCGTCGGGCGCTTGGGGGCATAAGCCTCAGATAACTAAGCCCCACACTCTCAAGGCATTTTGATAGTGCCAT